ATATATATATATATATATATATATATATATATATATATATATATATATATATATATATATATAATTTTCCTTTTTTGATTATTGTAAAAATATCCGGGGGATACATTGCTAACGAATTGTGCCGACAGTGTTACAAGAATCGAGTAGTTTCTATATCATAGCTGTCTCGGTCGGCGGTCAAATTCGTAGATACGATCCGGGTGCTCACCTCGGATACTTTACTAACTGAGTACCCGGAGTTAAAAATACCATCGGTTATATCTTTCTCGTGGCAGCTGATCTCTCGCGTCAGCCGATTTCATCTCTTTCATTTCTCCGAATTATACTACGTTTATTAACCGTCACTGTTCTACTCGAATATCCGAGTGCTCATTCGTACCGTAATCAGATACTTAGATACCGACACGATCTGCTCACAAACATCTTTCATAACGATGCAACGTTAGGAACTACGCATTTGACCACGTTGCGTATTATTAGGGATTATTCAATATTCTCCCAATAACTTTTTCGTTCTTTTTTTGTTTTGCTTACTGGGCATGGACTAACGTTTCCATAAAGAATCTCTCTCTCTTCTCTAAAGAGTAGCATGATTTAAATTCACTTAAATATATTCAACTATATATACCCAGTAAGCAAAATATCAGTAGCACGCCGGCCGACAGCGGGTTCTGCTGCCAAAAATCTGTTAAACTTGACACTAGCCGGGTGTGTGTGTGTGTGTGTGTGTGTGTGTGTGTGCACATATATGTGTGTATTGTGTGTATACATATATTATAATGTTATATATATTATATTATCATATACAGGATGAGCTAATATAACTATTATTACCTTGAATATCTTTGAAACAAAAGACAAAGGTGTCCTTCGATCTTTGAAGCTATTCTCCTCAAGAAAAAGCATAATTAGAATAAAATAAAGAAATTTATTTTGGTTTTCTCCCAAATAAAAAATCTGAAGATCACCTCTGTTTCTTGCTTCAAAGATATTCAAGGTGACAGTAGTTATTGACTCAATCTGTGTACATTACACACAATATATATATATATTAATAAATACATGTTATAATATATATAATACTGTGTGTATATATACATGTATAAATTAATGTATCTCATTTTACACTACAGATGGTCACGAAGCGGAGAAGAACTGCTGAAGACGCTGCACTGTTCTGCGATCCAGCGCGCACAGATCGAAGTCGAACGTCTTCTTCGTGATCTCATATTGACCAGTCTCGGCGATCACCTGCACAACCCTCTGCAGCTCCTGATTGTCCTGCAACGTCATGATTTTCTGCTGCAGGTCCTTCAGTTGTGACACATAGTCCTCGGAGAAGACTGGCGGCTCGCTGAGTTCCGTGTCCACCAAGGAGGTATTAGTAGAATCGGGCGCCACCTGCTCAGCGTCGACCTCCATGCTCTTCTCCTCCTTGATCGCCTGCGACTCACGATCGTCCTTCTCTTTCTTCAAGTCCTTCTTAGTCTCTTTCTCCGCGTGATGAACGGGATCGACTTCCATTGCAACCGGGGACTGGCTCGACGAGACCGGCTCCAACGGCGGCGAGATCGACTGGTCGCGTTCGCTTTTCTCGCGTTTCACCTTGTCATCGCCTTTGCTCTCGCTTCTTCTCTTTTTCTTACGACTCTCCCGCTCTTCGCTTCTGCTCCTTTTGGACTTGTCTTTCCGGCTACGATCGCTCTTGTCCTTCTTCACTTCCATCGATATGCCGGGAGACAGGGGCTTTGCCGATTCCGCGTGTAGAGTGGGCACCACCGCGTGTTCTGGCTCTTTCTTCGCGACGAGCAAGGGTTTGCTCTCTGACATGGCATCGTCGTCCACCGAAGGCGTCGAGTCGCTGCTATCCCTCTCGGGAATCTCCGCGAGAAGGGTCGATAACGGATTTCCAAGCGGCGCGGCAGACACGTTGTTCGGCTTCTCGTTGCCATCCTTGCTCTTGTCGCGTTTCTCTTTTCTCTCCTTATCCTTATTGCTGTCTCTTTTGTCCTTTTTGTCTTTCTTTTTGTGTTTATGTTTCTGCCGGTCCTTGTCACTCTTGCCGTCCTTCAGTTTCTCCGGCTTCTCGCTTTTCTCCGATTTATCCACTTTTATCGCTTTGTCATCCCTCACCTTGTCATTTTCTTTCATTGGTTTCGGAGATTTCCTACCGTCTTTGGACGACTTGTATTCTTGGAGTTTCTCCTTTTCCGATTTTTCTACCTTGTCCGTTTTCTCGGGCTTCTTCTCAACGACTTTGGTGAGGTCTTTGACATTAGCTTTCTCCGTCTCCTTATATTTGTCCTTTTCCTTTCTCTCCTTGTCTCGATCCTCCTTGTCTTTCTTCTTATCCTTCTTCTTCTCGGATTTGGAAGAATCGACGATGTTCTTGGAGTTGTTCTTCGCCTTGTCTTTCTCCTTGTTATCCTTCTCTTTGTCCGGTACGATCTTCTTCGGATCCTTTTCCTTAGGCTTAGGAGATAGTGGTCGCTTTAAGGACGGCGGGAGAGGACTAGCCGATTTCTTCGTAACGACTGGAGATGCCGGTCTCTTGTTCGACGGACTCGAGTGACTTTTGTTGCCAGGACTAGGTGGTCTCTTGGGTTTTTCTTTGCTCTTGATTTTATCTTTAGAGCTATCTCTAACTTTTTTATCTTTCTTCTCATCCACCTTGTCTTTCCGGCTGTCTTTGTGGGGATTTTCCTTTGTTTTTATCGCTTTGTCTACTTTGTCAGACTTCTCGGTAAGACTTAGCGAACTGATTTTAGGAACTGAATTTTTCTCCGGCTGCGCCACCTTCTTGTTGTCTGGCGATATTTTGGCCGTTTTAATAGGAGTCCCAAAAAGCTCATGAAACGAGTTGGAAGTTCTCGACTCGGTGATGCGATGTTTCCTGGAGTCGCTGCTCAATTTCGGTTTGCCGATCATCCCGGATGTCTTCACGTCGCTCTTCTCCAACAAACTGTCTTTATTGAATAACACAACCTGAAATTATAAAATGTGATTTCAGGGACACGATATTACACACTGTTCCTCCAATCTGGTTTCACAGTGTAAATATTTTCCTTCACGACGCAAAATTTTTGTTCGTTTGTTTGCGAAATACAAATCTTACAAATTCTACAAATATGAATATTTACACATATCAGTATATACAACTGTATATAAATATTATTTATATATACTGATATATAAGTGTACATATGTACAAGTGTACATGTATATAAATATTATTTATGCGTATTGATATATAAGTATACAAATGTGCAAATATTAGCTGTAAAATGAACGAATCAGTTGTAAAAGCAAATTAAACTAACTCAGCCAAAATATCTGTATAATCACTTTAGTCCTACAAATCCAATGCTTGACAAAAGCTTAAAAAATCTCAAGATATACTTACACCTCCACCTTTCAATAATTTCTTTCTAAACTCCTCTGAAGGATTGTTGATCACCTCCGTGTGACGTAAGACATTGTTGATGGGTGGACCACTTTTCTGCAAGTCAAGATCGTATGCTATTTGGAACTTCTTGGGCTCATCCTTATTCTTCAGATAAATTTCAATCGGTATCAGAAAGCCAGCATATCCAGATTCCTTCACCACAAACGGCGGTTCCTTCAGTACTCTCTTAGGATTCCTGAACGAGTCGTGCAAGAGGAATACCACTGGAAAAATAAAGCAAATTGATTTGTGCAAAAAGCAACTTTAAGCTATTCTATTCTATTGGAAGAAAAGTAATACATCAAGTGATACGAAAAGAGACTCAGATAGATAAATGATCACGAAAGGACTTGGAAGTCTCATATTCAGATTGAGGCAATGTTGCTTGCTGACCTGGCTGCTTAACTTTGTTTTGCCGATAATCACGCACGTTTTTACGATGTTTATAAACAACAAACGACACAAAGAAGCTACACAAAGAATTGGAAGAGAGAAACTACAAACATGTGGCCATCTTTTTCCGGAAACACATGCGTCGACGACGCAATCACCTCGGCAGTCAGAGAATGCTAGAGAACGCAGCGTGCGTAACGTACCTTTGTCAACGTACTGATGAATATCCGCATTGTCCACTCCGCGCACAAACACCTCCCAGTCGTGTGTGTAGCCCTCAGGAGTGAGATGGGAACGTACCATCGACGCGTGTCCACACTCAAGCGTGACGCGAATTGCCATGCTCTTCGAGAAAGCTCGGCCTAAAGAAAAATCGACGGAAAAGCACGGATCGCAAAGACGCGCGAGGGGGATGGCTAATTCTGCGACAGGACGCCGTGATTCTTCGTGATGACTTCACTCATTCTCCGAAACGTCGAGAGACGCGGCTACCACAGGATCGCACGTGCGCTACACCACCGAAGACGCACCACCAACGACGGGCATCGTAGTCTAACGCGCGCAGGTTATGTTCACAGCAACAGTGCCTATTTCCTGATTCTCACAGCGGAATTCGAACGCATCGTTCAGCAACGGCTAGTTTTGTGTGAAAGTGCCGACCGTCCGAACAAACAACGATTGCTTGTGCCGTCGCGCGACTCACCGAAAATCCTCCACGAACAATTTCTCGTCTCGAGACTTTACTTCCTCACGCTGCGACAGTGCCAATCATCAACAGGTAAGTCGTATACTAACGAGAATGGTCGCCATCGTCCATAGTCGTCGTTATTTTAGCGAGTTGAGCCAGTGTAGCCAATCGTCGAGTCATCGAGCATGCGCGTTTCAGTGCAGGGACGCTTTTTATTGGGCGCATTCAGCGGAAAAAGCGCTCAGTGAGCAATCAGCGATTATTGGTTCTTACTGTTAGATCCCTAAATTTATACCAATTACATTGACGAATTACTCAACTATTGTGCAACTGTTGAGTTCGCTGAACGCACCCAATGGCTGCCTTCAAGGTTGCGTTCCAAAACTCTACTCGACGGGTAGCATTTAATTGACCAATAAAAACAAAGATAACTAGAATTTCTTCATCATGATTAGTGAATTAAATGTACTCTACTCATCGAGTAGAATTTTAGAACGCAGCCCAGTAGAGAAAGTTGCTTCGCACTGGTGTAAAATTCATGATTTCATTGGTGTGTATATTTTTAAGCCATTGGCTGCGTTCAGCAGAGAAAGCTGCTTTACACTGTTATAAAATTCGTGAATCTGATTGGAGATGCTCTTAATTTTGGTTGAATTCAAGAGCATGTACCAATCAGATTCACGAATTTTACAAAGATTCACGAACAGTTGCAAAGTAGCTTTCTCTGCTGAACGCAGCCATTGTTATAGGCCATCTATAATTGCGATTCGTATAAAGTTATGCAGGATTCACACCGCATCCGATGTCCGACGTACGACGTCCGATATCCAATAACAGAACAGTTTTCTAACATAGAATTCAATTCTCCATTAGAAAGCTATTCTTTTATTGGATATCGGATGTCGTACGTTGGACATCGGACGCAGTGTGAATCCTACATTAGTCAACTAAAATATATTATAAATTCCAATACTAACACAGATGTCTATCTTTTGAGAAAGAGTTTCCTTGTTTCCTCTTTTATCCTTGTCTGATTCATAGTATAGTCGAGAGTGGGGAGAATGTGATGCAATCCAAGTTAAAAGTTAAGCCAGCGGCACACGATGCTTGTTTTCGTGCTGGATTGCTTGCTAGATGGAAATACTCTGTTTTGATTGGTGTATTTCCATCCATCTTCAAAATGCACCAATCAGCAAGCAATCCAGTATGAAAACAAGCACCGTGTGCCGCTGGCTTTAGAGATAATATGAAAAGCAGTGATCACACACACACACACTGAATGGCAATGACTTAAGCTTATGAACGAAAATTTAAGATATAAAAAATATATATATCTTTTCTCATTTATTAGTATTCACTTATCGACTTATTAAAAAAAACAAAGCAAAAATGGTTTCTAATTCGGAGATTCAGCTTATATTTAGAAATTAAACGACTTAGCTTTTGGTTCAAACTGTACTAGATAAAGACAAAGCGCTATTCTATAAACCTACAAGCATGTTCTCTTTCATCCCGTAATACTCAAGAGGTAGCGCGTTCCAAGTAGTATATATTTCAATGTCACCATCAACCGATCGCCCAGAGTTAGCAGTCTAGTTAGTATATAGAAGTGTAGTAGAAACTAGCATTAAAGGAAAGCCATAATTGGTCTATACGGCGCTTTAAAGTATCTGAAGAGTCTAATCGCACCCTATATGTCTGTCTTGTTTCAGACAGGCAGAGCTGTATTCCAAAACTCTACTTGACGGATGGATAGTATTTTACTGACCAATCAGAACAAAGAGAACTAAAGCCAGCGGCACACAATGCTTGTTTTCGCGCTGTTCCTGCGTTCGGAAACGTCAATCGAGTACTCTCCCTCTCTTTTTATCTCACTCTTATATTTCGTTCACTCCAACGACTATCATCTAGTAGTGTGCACACAGTGTGTTTTTGAACGCAGCCTGTATTGCTTGCTGGATGGATATATTCTGTTCTGATTAGTGCATTTCTGAACATGGATGAAAATACACGACCAAAACAGAATGGGTGATTTCCAGTTGCGTACACTATTACACAAAACCAGTTTATTGGTTGCATATTATCTTACAAGATATTTTAGATAATATGTGACCAATAAACTGGTTTTGTGTACGTGTGTCAAAATGTGTTAAGCAATTAGAAAGCACTCAGTATTTTCATCTAGCGAGCAATCCAGCACGAAAACGAGCACCGTGTACTGATGGCTTTAGATTTCTTTATCATGATGATTGGTTGAATATTACTGTATCCGTTGAGTAGGATTTTGGAACGCAGCCCAGAGAATGCAGAATCCCTTATTTTCGCTAATGATGTTGCAAATTAAGCTGGTGGCACATAAAAAAACATAAGCAGTAAGACGTAAGCAGTAAGCAAATTGACCAATCACAATCATTGATTCTTCTTACGGCCCAAGAATCAACGACTGTGATTGGTCAATTTGCTTACTGCTTAAGTTTTTCTGTGTGCCACCGCCTTTAGTTCCAAAGTCTCTATTACGCGTCGCCACTTTCCTTCGTCACCAACTTATGGCTCTCGCAGCCCAGTGCAATGCGCGACGCGACACACGATATGTGACTAGCGATATCCAATGCGTATTGGTATTCCGGAAAAGCTGTACTGTATCATTGGATATCGCGCATCGCATATCGCGTGTCGCGTCGCAAATCGCGCTGGCTGCGAGAGCTATTAGTCGTGGTACGACTAATAAACGATGAATCGAATGTGACCCGCTTATCAAGTAGTGCCACTCAACGGGAGAGCATGATTTTTCTTTTAATAAAATAGAAATATGTAAAAAACGATAAAAAGATATATATATATATATATATATTGGGCAATGTTCCAATATTTTATATAAATATCTATCGATATAAATGTTATAGACAATGTTCTGCAATAGCAATCTTTTTTTATAATTCATTACTACTCAGATATTTTTTTTCGTAGACATGGCACGTATCTACGAAACGTATATTTGTACATTTTACATACACTTGCGGGCGATTCGCCTCACTCTATATAAAATTATAGCCGCTTACAGAGATGAGTATAGTCTGTGATCTCGACTTGTAAAAGATATAATTTTCTTTTTATTCAATATCCCCTACGTAAGAATGTTATGCAGAAGCTGTTGATAACGCACTATCCCAGTTTTCAATTTAGTTTCTTTTTTAAATTGAGCACATTGAATTCCAAAGTCATACGTGAAACCGATATCTCGGTTAAACTTGAACAGCATAGCGTTATCGACGCTTTCTGATAATGTAGAAAGTCGATTTATATTAATTATTATACAAATAAAAACTATATTTTATATCATCGAGAAGTTATTAAAAATTACGCTTTGACAAAATTTAGGATCCGACTGTGTACGCTACGACCGTCGCGTGGTCTAACTTACCGGGTATCATGGAAATCTTCTCCAATGTCTTTTTTCGTCGAGATCTCTGCTCCTGTTTGGAGAGCTGTATCAATTGGCCGTCTTTATGTTGTGCATAATATAATTCCGTGTCTTCTAAGATACGTCTTTTCGCCGCAGTTATGCGCACCTGTGAATAAAGTCATCAGTCAACATTGGATGAGATATTGTTTGAAAAATAATGATTTTTTAATTAGAGAAATAGAGATATAGAGTAACTAATAAAAGAGGAATTTAGAAAAATGTGAAATTAGAAGAAATAGAGATCGAAAAATAAATGAGAATCTCGTGCATTCCAAAACGATTTTTGAAAAACCTTAATTTTCAATTTATATCTCATATATATATATATATATATATATATATATATATATATATATATATATGTATCTTAATTATGTTTTAATTATATAGTACAATTATTTTTAATAGAATCAAAGAGAGAAAGACAAAATATCCCTCTTTATATTTTAATTTGCTTAACTCATTAAAATTGATAAATTGCTTAAAATTCAAAGGCACCATGAGACATTTTTATTCTTACTGCAAAATCCAAAAGAAGTTCACACAGGTGCTTGGCACTATTGCACGGCGGCCCCTCTCCTGAAACACCGCGTCTCAACAAGTCCTCCATCCTGAGCAACGTGAGCTCGTGCCTCTGATAAGCCTCGACTACTGGCAAGTTGTTGCTATTGCCATTACTGTTGCTGGACTCGGTGTGGCGCAGATTCTCCGCAGATTTTCGGCGGGTCTTCGATCTCGCGTCGTGGCTCTTTAGCGTGGTGTCGGCGCCACTGCTGTGACTCGGTAAAACCGCAAATTTCCCTACCACGGGATCGAAATTGTCGGAGATCCCGTCACTCGTCAAAAATACTATGTCGCCTCTCTCTACCTCCGTTATGGCCAATGTTAAGTTATTTAGTTCCGGATTAGAGCCGTCTACTGGGCCTAAGGCTCCTAAGGCATCTCGCATATCTCGCATGCAATGAATATCGTGAGATCCTCGCGTTATTTCTCGCACACCAGATTTCCTATTTCGTTTTTATATAAGAGACAATTATTGAACAGAGTTGAAACTTGTTAAAATCTAATAAAAGAGAGAGAACTAGTTTTAATTACAAAGCAGTGATCTCCAACAGTTCTCTTTTTTGAGCCTGTCTCAAGTAAAGAACAATTATTCTTCAAACAAACACTGTGCCAACAAAATTATCTCTCTCTTCTACATAATAAAGAGTACATACCTCGAATAGACATAAGCCAGACTATCACCAACATTGCAGGTACAGGCAATATACTTTTTGTGGCATATATTTGTATCAGTACTTGAGCTTGGCAGTGGAAGGATTGTGCATACTGTTAAGGTAGTGAGCATTCCTTGTTCCTGAAGGATCAACGAATGCGCGGCATGGAATGATCGCAGTAACGCTATGAACACGTCCCTAGTCGTTGTGGTTTCGCTATTGATAGATGGACAAAATAACGCACGGTTCAGGTATTCTATGCTCCCGTGAACCGCGGATCTGGCAGCTATACTCGCTTTTGTACCTGAAATCGTCAATACCATTTATACATTTTAAAATATTTCTTCACACAAATAATTTAATATTTCTTTACTCCTTGATCTCCACTCACCCTGGTCAACTTTAGTAAGAGAGATCAATTTAAACGAGCTATATATATATATATATATATATATATATATATATATATATATATATATATATATATATATATATATATATATATATATATATATATA